GTGTGAAAATATTTTAACAAAAACTTATCATATATATAATGCTTATATAATCATATGTTTGATGTTTGTATCAACGGTCTGTGTAATTAGTATAAGTATTAACAAAATGTATAATATGTATCTATCTAAAATCTATAAAAACAGAACATCCCACAACTTATGGAGGAGGCGATCGCCCCCCTTCTCCCCTCCTCCCGCAGGGACGCCACTGTAACGAGACACTAAATATAAAATCAGGACGTTTGCACCCTAACCTGTTACAACCTACCCAATCATTTTATCTATTCACTAGTTCCCACTTACCATGGATTCCAAAGTGAATTTTATATCGAGTATCTAAAAGTGTGGATATAATATTATCGACTCATATAGGACCAGCTAGTTGTACCGTCTCTGATTAAAGTTAACCGGAGTTTAATAGGCCAAATTTACCCGGTGAAATATCTGTTATCAGCTGATTAAACTTAATCAAAGTTTAACCGTAGACCCATAGATGGTACAGGTACAACTGGCCCTTAGTGTCCAAGCATCCCAGTTTTTAATGTTTGTCCCGGTGACCCGAAAGTCATTATAGGGATTTTGTTACGTCCCAGATTATTATTTGTAATTATAAATTTGTATTGCATCATTTAATAATCTATATTACCTTTCTACGGTATTTCCAGATTTCGTTATATACCTAGGTATTTACTTATATTTAATAATTAACAGTAATATTTTGAGTGTTTGCGATTGTTCAAAATATTAAAGAAATAAAAAATGATGATTTATTTTATATATTTTATTGTTATTCACAATTATAAAAGAGTTTTTGAATTGAATTTTCGTTATGGACTTAAGTACAATGATCATTGTTTGTTTGTTTATTTATTCTTTTTTTTGTAATAATGTTATAAAAAATCAGAGAATTGTATCGGAAGTATGGGAAAAATTGCTTCCGCCTGATAGATAGCCTGAAAGGTCTATATATTCATAACCCCATTGAAACCTAATGTTTTGTTTTTTTATATTTTTAAGCAGTAAGCGGTTCTTTTTGAATTTAAATTTAGCCTTATTTAGTCGTATGATGCGTAAACTATATAACTCGTTTCCGCTTTATAATTCCCGAGAATGTCCACATATTCCCAAGGTTCCAGACAAATGGTGTTCCCGGAAATTATTCATCCCTAAAAATCTGCAGGAAATAAGGAGAACTCAAGTATTTATTTTTCTCATTAAATTTTAAATCTTCACTGGCCGCTGTTGAGTATTTTTATCGAACATTGTATCACATTACTTTTATAATTTATCATGTGTTAATTGAAACATGGTTGTTAGATGTACCAGGTACTTGATTAATTTATGATAAATGTGGCAGTTCACAAGTGGCAATATAAGGATCTCATAGAAACTTAAGTAAAGGTCGAACCATGGAATAGTACAGAGCCTGGAGTGAAGAGGAAATCATATGCTCTGAGGTGTGCTGCATAACCTAACCTAACTTAACTTATTAACAAAAACCAAACGCTTTACAACTAATAGAGAAAATATTTAAATCGTAACTAAGGTCAGTGGTTAGTCAGGTCTTTCTTTTATTGAGAACAATATTCTATAAACTCAATATTCGGTGTATTCGATTTTGAATTGTTTTTCTATACAACTATTACCTATATATTATGATCAACACTGTTCCAATACAAATATTAAAACATTTCACCACTGTATTATCCAAAACTGATTTACATTTTAGTTTAAACATAATTTAGAGAAACTTAGGTTTAAATATATCTGAAATTTCCTAGGGATGAAACATTTTATAACACATGTGATATGATTCGATCGAATATCACAAGTTCTTTTTATAAACAATTCGCAAGCTCCTAATTGGTGTTTGAATGGCATAAAGCGGTCAATCGATGTTTATAGCATGGTTATAGTTACTATAGATACTATAGTATATATTAGGTATAAAGCCGTAGTTTAAATTAAAACGATTCCATGTATATGCATGTTTATTAAGTCTAAACATAATATAGGTACTGTTGATTTTCTTAAAAGAAAATGTTTATATGGTTTTTATTATAAGCAAATAAATTAAAAATTAACAACAAGAAACTCCATTTAAATTATTTACGTTAATAGCCACACATTCTTGTTTGGAAAAAAAGCAATTTATAATATTCAGTTCAACACAAATTATCCATACAAATAAATATAATACATATCTGTAAGTTGTTAAAATACAGTTGAAATGTGTGTGAATGAAAATGTCTAGTAATATTTTACGGCATTAAATATGCATCAGAATCGATAATGCGGGAACAATAATATATTTTTTAATAATAACCCTTATTTTTTAACAAATATGGCCCGCATATACGTTATAGTACCAATGATATAACCGTATACTTAACATTATTACTTCTATTATACTTTTGAAATGTTAACTCTAGGTGCTTGTGTTGTATAATTTGAATTCTATTCTAAGAAAATTGATAATAATTAACAACAATATGGAACTACAAACTTTTAGATCTTGAGCATTACATACGCACTCGATTCGTTCAGGAATTTATTAATAATGGTATGTTAATTTGTTAGGTACAAAATTATAAAACACATGAACTCGAATGACGAATTACCATTTATCATTATCAATCTTCACTTCATACCTAAAGTATAAATATAATAAATTTATTAGCATTAACATTTTATGAAACTGTCTTGTCTCTACAGCATATTATTATTATTTTATTCATTATAAAACTGT